GTTGCTAGGATTTGCACCAGGCGTTTCGTTGTCCAGGAGTGACCCCTAAGATACCCTGAAATTTGCAGACCTCTAGCTCATCTCCTTCCTCTTACACGGACGACGGACAGACAGACGGACACGAGAGCGGTTGCATAAGCCCGCTTTAATGCTTTTTTAAAAGCAGAAGGGCGGGCTAAAAACTGGAAAGCTAGCGATCTCGGCACACGTCGAACGACATGAACGAACGCGCAGCAGCAGCAGCAGAGTCGAAAGCGCGCGCGCCAGAGTTCGGGCCTCGCGAAATCCTTAATTCTCGCTCTCGGCTTCGCCCCTCGCGGCGGCGGCGGCCGCGCTCACTGACACGAAATTAAACTTTTGGTGATGGCTCCCATCGCCAGGCCAGCCGTCCGTCCCGCTAGAGCTGTGTGTTTATTTAACTCGCCGCCCCCCGGCGGCGACTCCACGCCCATGCCTAATTTAATGCGGGGAGAAAGAGGGGGCAATAGAGTGGGCCAGAAACTGGGTCTGTAATGTGTGTGTGAAAGGGAGGGAGAGACAGAGAGAGAGAGAGAAGGGAGGGGTGATTCACAGTTTTAAAGCCATTCCCTCTCGATGGCGGTTGTTTGCGTTACGCACGCTCTGATGTGGTGGCGATTGGTTTCCATGTCTGACCCGATTCGCTCTTCTGTCTGTCCCCCGCAGAGCTGCTGCACCGGGTGGTGCTGCTGTCGGGCTGCGCGCTCAGCCCGTGGGCGCTGCAGCGCGACCCGCTGTCGGTGAAGCGGCGCGTCGCCGAGCAGACGGGCTGCCACGGCGACCTGCTCGAGGACGACCTGGCGCCCTGCCTGCGCGCCCGCCCGCTGCACCAGCTGCTCAACGTGCACCTCGACCCGCCGCGCTTCCTGCCCGGCTTCGCGCCCTTCGTGGACGGCGCCGTCCTCATGGGCACCGGGTCGACGTCGCTCGGCGACCTGGGTGAGTACAATGGTGACGAGGATGAGGAGGGAGGAGGGCGACGGGGAGGACGACGACGACGAGGGCGGTGACTGGGAGGACGGCAAAGACGAGGACGGCGACGACGACGGCGAGGGCGGAGACGGGGAGGACGGCGACATGGGATGGGGAGTGGAGAGTATGGTGACTGCGGGAGGACGATACGACGCGAAGGCTATCCGTGAAGATGGCGTCGACGGCGGACGAGAGCGCCGACGGGGGGCGTCGAGGCCTGACATAGTAACGGGACGCACGCACTTCCAGGATAAAAGATATAGGAAGAACGGGGAAGGGAAGCGGCAACGGCGAAAAGATGACGTTCGATACAGCGCGGGTGCGCGCGTCCTGGGCGGGGCTGGCAGGCAGGCGCCAGGCGCCAGCATCCAATCTCGCGCGCGCGCGGGAACTTTGAATCCAAGTGCTGCCGGTGGGGCTCTTGGGGGCCAACCCGTGCCCGGGCTTGGCGCAAGCACCCACGGGCGGCCCGCGTCGTGCGTACACGGGGAGGAGAAGAGGGGACGGAGGAGAGGAGGAGGGCGCATCGCCCGCAGCGCACTATACGTGCCCAACACAATACAAGGTGCCCCCGCGCTCTTCTCTCCGCACCCTGCTCTTTTTTTTCTCGTTCTCTCTCTCCGAGCAGGCCCAGAGTGTGTAGAGAGGGAGAGCGCGGGCAAGGGGGGAAGCCCTCTCTGGATGGATACGGATGGTGGGGCGCGACCACCGCTGCCGCCGCCGGGGCGGGGCGGTGCGAGGACTCGCCAAACTCGGCAGTGTTGGAAATGTGGTGAACTCTTCAATCACGGGCCAAAGGCGCCTTGCCGTTCCCAGAACCCATCCCCCACCCCCCACCCCTTTACCTTCCCTACCCCTAGGACCCCCCAGGGCAGGCCCGTCCTCCCTTGCGACGACGAAGGAATGGAAAAGGTTGGGGGCTGAGAGGAAAGGGGGTCTTTCTTTAAATTCGCTCGGGGCGTGGATCCTCCTCCCTTCGCGTCGTCGCAATTTTTTTTTTCGTCTCCCCGGTCTACTCTCATCCACCCCATCCCGACGGCCCCCTGTCCCTCCAGTTAGTCGCGCTGTCTCAGTGTGTCTGCTCCCCCTCCCCCCAACCCTTACCCTACGCCGGGGTGGTCTGTAGGCAATGATGCGTGTCATCTCCTCCTCCTCTACACCGTGACCCCGTCCTCCTTTCCCCCTCCTCCACCGCCACCGCAACCCTCACCCCCCTCCTCCTCTCCCCCTTCTCCACACCTTCTCCTCCCCTTGCTCACCTGGCCGAGGCACATGTGCGCACATATTACTATACCATGGCGCGCCCGAGTGAAACTCACGCGCGCGCGGAGTACATGAGGCCCAAATAGAGTGCGTTCGTCTGGACAGCGGCTCAACTCACCTCGGCGTCGTCAGGGAGGGAGGTGGAGGGGCGGGGGGTGAGTGTAGGGGTGCAGTTGGAGGGGCGCTCAACGCGCCGGGCGCAACTCAAACTTCCCTCAGAAAGCCATTCAACAGTTGCCGCGCTCGCTGCTGCGGTTGTGTGCGCGCGCGCGCCCGCGCCTTTGAGTGTGTTCGGAAATGGCACCGGCGCACGGCACGGCGGGGGGTGGCTCTCCTTGTCTCTCTAATTGCCTTCCAGGAGAGAGGCGGAGGCGGGAGAGAGGGAGAGAGAGAGAGAGAGGGGGAGAGGGAGAGGGAGAGGAAGAGGAAGAGGAGTGCAGAACCGGAGCAAAGTGATGGCGTGGAGTGCCGCCCTGGGGTAAGGGAATCTTTCTCGACTTACCCTCTCCCCCCACCCTCACCCATTCCGTCTGCCCCTCCTACCCCTACCTCTCATACTAGTAACTTGGCTTCTGGCTTCCGTCTCTCTCTCTCTCCCCTCTCTCTCTCTCTCTCTCTCTCTCTCTCTCTCTCCTTCCTTCCCTTTCCACGGCTTGCCCCTCCCCCCTTCTTTTTACCGTGTGCACGTTGTGCCGGAACGAAAAATATCCGCCCCTCTCCAAAGAGTCCGCCCGTTTGGAAAGCGAGGGGAATGTTTGATATATCGATGCTAACCAGGCAGAGGATGGCGACATAAGTTGGACGTCTGGCACCTTCCAGCCTCGTGACGTGGAGGTGGGGG